AGACCCCCCACCGCGCGCACATGCCCCTGGGCTCTGCTCTCTGCAGTGGCCCCGACACTGAGCTTACCCTCCTCCCCAGCTCACACCCCTTTGTCCTGCCCTAACCAACCCTCTCCGACCAGAACAGACTGGACCCAGATTGGTGGAACTAGGCAGATGGATTTTGTTTGTTCCTTTAGGTTACAAAACAAAACCAACTGGGGGGCGGGGGGGGGGGGGGGAAAATAAACCCAACCAGTTGTTTGATTTGGGAGGTAACTTCTGTAAGAGTCTTTTTCTTTATTTCTTTTTTTTTTTTTTTTTTTTAAAACTCTCATCCGAGGATATTTTTCAAGAGTGTAAGGGAGGGAGAGAGACAGAGAAAGAAACATTGATGAGAGAGACACATCAGTTGGCTGCCTCTGGCTCACACTCTGATCAGGGATGGAGCCTGCACCCTCGGTGCGGACCCTTGACCAGAATCAAACCCGGGACCCTTCAGTCCACAGGCCGACGCTCTATCCAGTGAGCTAAGCCAGCTAAGGCTGTAAGAGTCTTATTTGTAAATAAGCAACAACTGTCCCACCAGCACCCCACAACCCATGGAGCTTGCTTTTCTAGGTCACTCTGGTCCCCCAAACACCACTCTGCCCTGAGGCCTTTGAGTTTGAGAGCTTTGGCCTTCTTGTCCTGATCCTACCCTCTGTGTGCGGCTCCTTTCTGCGTCCTTCCAACACGTGCCGCCCGCATTGACCTTTTCCTCTGCCCCCAGGTGGTCACCATGGGCCAGTGCTACTACAACGAGACCATCGGCTTCTTCTACAACAACAGTGGCAAGGAGCTGAGCTCCCACTGGCGGCCGAAGGATGTGGTGGTGGTGGCACTGGGCCTGACGGTCAGTGTGCTGGTGCTGCTGACCAACCTGTTGATCATCGCAGCCATCGCCTCGAACCGTCGCTTCCACCAGCCCATTTACTACCTGCTTGGCAACCTGGCCGCCGCTGACCTCTTTGCCGGTGTGGCCTACCTCTTCCTCATGTTTCACACTGGCCCGCGCACAGCCCGGCTCTCGCTCCAGGGCTGGTTCGTGCGGCAGGGTCTGCTGGACACAAGCCTGACGGCCTCGGTGGC